CCGGAACCAGCAGTTGGTGTATCATTTGCGATGGCCAAATATAGGATTGGACTGTGGGCTGAAGAGAGACTTCGCCTACTGTGGACCAGTTCTCCTGGAATGAGACATGCTAAGGTGTTTATTAACATCGCCACTGTCAAACCCGGGAATATTTTAGGACTTGCCCGTAGTAGCATAAAAGTTCTAATGGGTGTTTTTACTGGGCACTGCCGATTAAAAGCACACCTCAACTTGTTGGGTTTAGCCGACGATGTTGAATGCCGACTATGTGCGGAGGAAGCAGAGACGGTTGAGCATGTTTTATGCCACTGCCCTGCCGTTAACCGTATCAGATTCTCGATTTTTGGGTCGCAGTTTATCTCCTCAAAAGATCTGAATGACCTTTCGCCGAGCAAGGTATTAATGTTCGTTAAGAGCATTGGACTGCACGGTGAAATTTGATAACGATATCTATCGGGGTACAATAGATCCTTAGGGTCGCGGTGCAAGGTTGGTTGGTCCGCCTACCCGATATGTATTCTATGTAATGTAATGTAATGTAATGTAACACTAAACATATTTAGACATATATCTTAAGACGGTTAAACCGTAATGATTCTAGTTCTAGGTCTAGTGTTAGAACTAGAAATATTCGGGTTTAGCCAAATATGTATTACCCAAATGTTTTTAGTTCTAACACTAGACCTAGACTTAGAATCATTAGGGTTTAGCCGTCTAAAGAGACGTATGGCTAAACCCTAATGTTTCTTGTTCTAACACTAAACCTAGAACTAGAATCATTCGGGTTTAGCCGTACGTCTCTTAAGCAGTGTTGTTAAATACCCGGGTATTTATTTTCAAGGGTAAATATCCTGGATATATACCCGGGGGGTATTTACCCAAGATGGGTATTTTGAGGTGTTTATAAATTTAATTTAAATTGAGTTGATGGCAGTTTTGCAAGCACTTCAAGAATGCAGAGTCGCTTATCGACATACCAAACTTATTTATAACATCTACAAGAATGCTACAATGACGGTAAAATTGCATGAAAGTACTGAAGNTGAGATATCGCCATGAAATAAAATCCATTTTAAAGCAAATTTAATTCATATTTAATGAGTTAAAAATAATTTCTTTATTTCTACAATTTTCCACTTAATGATTTTTTTAATTCATCCACCTATGACAAATTAATAAATATTAAATAAAAAAAATCATATTTCAAAAAATAATTGAGATATCACGATGATTTAACAACCATTTCATAGCAAATTTAATCTAGTTTAAACTCACCAAAAATATTTTCTTTATTACTATAAATCTCACCGATACGATTTTTTTAATTCAACCCTGTAATTATTGAGGTTAATTTAATAAAATTGCGATTTAAAATGTTGTATCTCAAGAACGAATTGAGATATCGCCATGAAATAAAATCCATTCTAAAGCAAATTTAATTCATATTTAATGAGTTAAATATAATTTCTTTATATGACTAAATTTATAAATATTAAATTTAAAAAACTCATATCTCAAAAAATAATTGAGAATTTAATTACTAATGTTAATGTGTTATTTAATTAAATTAATGAAATTTATTTAATAAAACAAATTATTTATATTTTTAAATTTTTTTTATTATTTTTGGAATGCTTCAACTATCTACAAAAAATTAAATACATACATATAAAAGCTCTTAATATCATTTTTAACTCCTCTTATTGTTGACAATGACTGTGGATTTTGGTTTCCATGTGATCGTTTGGTTGACGATGTTGGAAGTTTAAGTAATCACCGGCTTCAGCTTTGCGTCTCCATTGTTGGGTGGCAGAGCTTTCATCTAAACAGATGATATCGACCTTCTTGCTGACTTCTTCTTGTGGGTGGCATCCTGGTTTGCAAGCTGGGTAAGCACGGACGGTGAAACAATCTTTGTTGTTCTTTCTGAAATAAAGAGTGCGGTGTCCGGTGCAAGAGGAAGATTCGTGTTCATCAACTTGTTGTTGGCTTAATTCTTGGATCCTTTCAAAGGTTGGGATTCTGACGTAACAATTTTCTCTTTGGACGTGTTGTTGTTGGTTTTGGTGAGATCCAATGGTGTAAGCGGCTACAAAGCTTTGTGGTTTTTCAACACTGACTTCTCCGTTGGGAAGGAGGAAATCATCTGATTCCATTCCGTTGAAGTTTCCGCAAAGACCTTTGGTGGAGTTGGCGAAGAGGGAAGATGTGGCAGTAAGTTTGACGCGTTTGCCATCGGCGATGACGTAATATCTTCCGCTGACTTCAACTTTAACTTCATCGTTGGGGAGTGCGTAAACTCTGATTGCTCTGTTGTAGAAATCTTGAGATTGTTGTTCGGTGCAATGAACTTCCTTTTTGTCAACGAGGACCTTGACCTTGGGGCTGGATTGACCAGTTGGTCTCATTTCAACTTCAACTAATTTTTGTTCGGTGCTAGGGGAGCGAAGAGTGATCTTAACAGCTTTGCCTTGGTTTTCTTGGCGGACCAACACTGCGTGTTCGCGGATTTGGTGTTGTTTGCGGTATTTCAAATCGGAGTGATGGCTTTGGTTGGAGAATTGTGGGAGGTAATGAAGCATAACTGCCCAGCTCTCGGATAATTCAGCGTCGTATTCTTTTCCGTCAAAGGTAGCAGCCCTGGTTTTGTCGACAACACAAATTGCTGCAATAAAAAATAAAAAAATTAGACATTGAATTCGATTTTACTCTAGATTTAAAACATACGTCTGTAGGTGTCGATACTGAAAGCTTCGGCAGATAATCTGGTAGTGACTGGGAAAACTGGGTGAAGAACGAAGAGTTGTCTTTGCCATCCGTTAACTGGGATGCGTTCGCAGGATTGTCTGAATCTGCTAGCTAAGGTTCCATCGAGAGTGTAGTTGGCGTGCTCTAAGTTTGGAGTGAAACGAACGTTGATTCTGATTTCTCTATCTTCTTGTTCGCGATGTTGCTCGAAATCGCATTCGATGGCTCTGCATGGACGGACGAGAGATGCGATTTGTTGGATGATATGCCTGCAATGTTGGGAAAGACCTTCATGTTTGATTCTGATGGAGATATCGTCAAGAAGATTGGCTCGGGCGGTCATGTTAGCGCAAGATGGCATGATGCGATTGCCTTCTTTAATTTCTTCAAGACATCTATGATGTTCAGGTTGCTTTTGCAAATGTTCAACACGTTCGTGCGATTTTTGGAATTCAGCATCAATTTCAAAGCGGCTTTGTTCACCTTTAGGTCCAAGAGAAAGCTTGGTGTGAGCTTTGACCTTAGGGTTCATCTTGAGAGCGTATTCGTAATCTAATCCGTTGGTGTTTGGTGATTCACCGTTGTGAAGGAGAGCAAGGTGCCATGGTTTGCTTTCGGCATGCTTGGATTCGGCGTGAACGTAGGCAATGACACGGGAGTGTTTGTCTACTGGTCCTCTGGCGTCAGCGACACCAGCGTGGATGGTAGCTTCTTGTTGACCAACGAATTGGATTTGGATATCACCAGCCATAACGTGGACACTGTGGATGCCAGCGCCAGCTTTTTCCATAGCTTGTTGGAGGCGGCTTTGTTGTTCGGATGGAAGGTTCAAGATGTCTTCGATTGATGGAGCGGATCCTTGTTTATCATGGTGTCTTTGACCGTATCTAATTTGCATTTTTACTTCGCGGTTAGCACATTCGCTGCCTCTGTACCACAATTCGGTTTTGGAGTATTTGATTTCATCGTTGAATAAGAGATGCATGGCGCTTTCGACGGCTCCTCTGCGTTGAACACGGTGGAGGAATCTGTTCAAGTTGAAGCGTTCTTGGTCGGTTTCATAACGGAGTTGGAATTGCATGCCAGTGTGTTTTCTTCCGAAATCTAAGACTTGCGCTTGTGGTTTTTGTTCATGCAAGACGGTGTAACCTTGGTGGGTTTCAACTGGTTGAATAGACAAGATATCATGGTTAGCGCAGTATGGGTGGGTGCTGTGATGGAAGATTTTGATGTCTTGTTCAGCTTCCAAGGGTTTGATGTCGGTGAAGATTTTGTTGTCCTTAAGATCAACTTCAACTTTAGCGGAAACTGGTACATGAACTTGCATTTTCTTGTTGTATCCACTAACGTAGTCGTGGTGTTCGAATGGAGTGTAGAAACGGATGCTGCCTTGCATTTCGTTACCGTAGAGGGCACGTACTTCAGCGTTAGCCTTGATGTGTTTTGGTGCGCGAAAGGTTTTTCCATTGCAGAATTCTGGTGCAGTTTCAGCTTGAATCTTTCCGTCCAAACTCAAAAGGCTTGGGGTGGCGGCGGTCAAAGAGTATGGGAGACCCAATTCGGTTGGAGCAGATAAAACGGCTTCGTGGTTGATGGTCCATTTGGAGAGGCTGAATTTTTGACCCTTCCTCAATTCTTCTTGCCAGTGACGGGCGACTTCAGTGATGCTGTCAACGGTGTAGTTATTGACTGGGAAGTGACGGAAAACGTTGGCAAGTCTGACATGAATCAAACCTTCCAATTGTTCACGTCCTTCGATGTTAATTCCTAAAACTTCGTAGATCTTGTTGTTAGAGTGAACTTCATCTCTGCTTTGGGATTGCTTCTTGTGGACTTGATCTTGGTGGAATTCAGTTTGTTGTTCAACTTGTTCGAGGATTTCTTGTAAGCTNTTCCGGTTATGACATAAGGCTCCGAAACTTTAACATTAACGGTAACCACTGCCAGGAGGCTCCAAGTAGCGCAAAGATAGATGGAGAGGTCGATCCTGGGTCTAACTCTGAGGGACTACATACGAAATGAAGACCTACGAAGAAGAACTGGCGTAAATGATGTGGTCAACATTGTGGCAAAGCTTAAGTGGAACTGGACGGGTCATGTCGTGCGAATGAAGAATGAACAGTGGACAAAACGGTTGCTTGAGTGAAGACCGCGAGCGAACAGACGAAGTAGACGTCAAAAAAATGACCAACAATTGGATTCAAACAGCACAGAATAGGGAAGGTCTATGTCCAAAAATGGACGCAGAGGGCTGCTTGGTGATAATAATCATAATAACTTGATCTAATCTAAATTACGGCAGATTCGTCTAATGATAATACGTCTTTGATTGTTGACAATTCCTCGTCTTCCTCTTCATTTTTATTGGAATCGATATATTTTTACTGGTATCACTTTTATACCCACTGTTTGAGTATTTACCCTGGGCCGGGCTAAATACCCGGATAAATACCCATTTTAGAAATACCTACCCGCTGGGTATTTACCCAGCGCCCATCACTGCTCTTAAGACGGCTAGTGTTATCGCTGTACCACAATTCGGTTTTGGAGTATTTGATTTCATCGTTGAATAAGAGATGCATGGCGCTTTCGACGGATCCTCTGCGTTGAACACGGTGGAGGAATCTGTTCAAGTTGAAGCGTTCTTGGTCGGTTTCATAACGGAGTTGGAATTGCATGCCAGTGTGTTTTCTTCCGATATCTAAGACTTGCGCTTGTAGTTTTTGTTCATGCAAGACGGTGTAACCTTGAGTGGTTTCAACTGGTTGAATAGACAAGATATCATGGTTAGCACAGTATGGGAGGGTGCTACCGTAGAGGGCACGTACTTCAGCGTTAGCCTTGATGTGTTTTGGTGCGCGAAAGGTTTTTCCATTGCAGAATTCTGGTGCAGTTTCAGCTTGAATCTTTCCGTCCAAACTCAAAAGGCTTGGGATGGCGGCGGTCAAAGAGTATGGGAGACCCAATTCAGTTGGAGTGGCTTCGTGGTTGATGGTCCATTTGGAGAGGCTGAATTTTTGACCCTTCCTCAATTCTTCTTGCCAGTGACGGGCGACTTCAGTGATGCTGTCAACGGTGTAGTTATTGACTGGGAAGTGACGGAAAACGTTGGCAAGTCTGACATGAATCAAACCTTCCAATTGTTCACGTCCTTCGATGTTAATTCCTAAAACTTCGTAGATCTTGTTGTTAGAGTGAACTTCATCTCTGCTTTGGGATTGCTTCTTGTGGACTTGATCTTGGTGGAATTCAGTTTGTTGTTCAACTTGTTCGAGGATTTCTTGTAAGCTGGAGGCCAAGAAATCGTAAGCTCCCAAGGTGAATTCGGCATCACCAGGGTGTATAAAAGAGAGGTGGTGTATCGACTGTTCTACCGCATAATTAAATATTTTATAAATAAAAATGGTTAATAAATGTTTTGTACCAAATTGTACTTCTGGGTATAGTTACTGCGTTGAAAAATTTAGCCTCTTTAAGTGTAAAAATACACACTTGCTGCCTCAATGGGCTAAAGCTATACCACGTGCTGACAAAAAATTCGGTATAAACGATCATGTCATGTCGTGTAATAAATGGACAAATAAATAAAAGCCAAATAAAAGTGTTTCATTATACTCCACACTAGATCTAACAAGATACTTGTTAGAAAAATGTGATTTTAAATATGTATTGATTGCAAAAATGAATCAAGATCCATTAGAGGTAGGTGTTAATCCAACACAACTTTAATTTTCACATAAAACGTTTATAGCGATTTTTTGGAAGCATACGCCAAGCTGGAGGATGTAATGACCACCCTACCTTAGCAACATTTTTACAACTTTACAGAATGTTGTCAGTGTATAAATTAGTTAAACCACCTAAATTTGAATTTAGAGAATACACGGAAATATTTTCTAAAACCACCAATATATCCGAAAGAAGAAAACACATTGAAAATTTAAAAAATAAATTAGACCCCCACCACTCCAGTCGATTTAAGCGTTGCGCTTCACTAACAGTCGTTTATCCACCTCTCCTTTATACACCGTGGGCATCACCAAGGATGATTTGAAGTTTGCCATGGGCTCTGTTGGGGAGTATGTGATCGCCGGAAGAATAGGTTCTGTAGGAGTGTCTCAATTAAGCATCCATTTGTTCACGAACGTATCTGTGGATTCCGTTTTGTGGGTATTCCGCGCCATATTCTTCGTCGTTTAAGAACCTTTCGGCTTGGATGGCTGGTTCGTACTCCATATCGACAAGTTTGCGGATGGTGGATTGAACGGCTGAGTTGACGTATTCGTCGTTGTCGATGTGGGTGTTTTGAGCCATGGCAGCTAAGATGGAGACTTCGGGTTCGGTGTAAGCCATAAGGTAAGCGGCTAATGCGCGAACTTCTTGTTGTTCGGAGGAGCTGAAGTAGAGGCTCTTCAAAAGATCTCTTGCGGCTTCAGGGTACATTTCGGCGAATCTTCTCAAAGCGCTAACCATAACGAATCTTTGGAATTCGGTAACACGTTGTTCTTCTGGAAGTTGATGGCGTTTCTCCGGGGTTTGTCTAATGTATTTTTCTAAAGCCCTGTAGATGTCTCTGTGTCCAACACGGCCGAGAGCGATGGAGAAGATGAGAATGTCTTGGCTTTCGGAGTGAGCGACCGCTTTGTGGAGGCGTTGTTCCAAATACCTGATGTATTCTTGGGCGATGGTTTGGCATTCATTGGTGTAGAAGCTTCCGTAAGCATGGAAAGGATATTGTTGGTAAGATCTTTCTTTGTCGACGCAAACTTTGTGTAACAAATCAGCGTATGCGACCACAGAGGTGTTATTAAGAGTGTGTTGTTGACGTTCGACGGATTCTTCGGCCAATTTTTGGAAGGTTCTGAGGTATTTGGCGGTTGGGTGGCGAGCAGCTACGGCCATTCTTGAGACAAGTTGAGCATCCATTGATGGATGGTGAGAAGGGCGGGTCCGTTACCAGATTGAACGATGGCGACACGGAGAGCTTTCCAGCTCTGTGAACCTCGAACCCGAGTTTATGATATTTTGGTTTTATTAGTACCATTCGATAGAGAATCGTTTGTACGATTCTTTGATTCTTCAGAATATCGCTGAAAGTGTGTATCTCCGTTATTAATACAGATATCGCAAAAGGTCGATGGAATTCGATGGGGAATCGTTTGTACCCGTTTGTACCATTTTTGTTTTCGTTTGTACCTCAACCGATTGCAGAATACAGCGATTTGACAACTATTCGGACGAGTTCGTATAGCAAAAAAAGATGTGACTTTTACAAACACATGTTTGTTTGATTCGCTTGCACAATCCGTGTTGGCAGGATACCGAGAATGGGTCTGTTATCATGAATATATTTCCGCTTCAAAAAATGAATTTTATGATTTCATAAAAAACATTTTCAATTTATGGCGAAACCTATAAAAATCGATCGGAGTTATTGAGCAATATATTTGGTTTGCACAGCAATCAAATTGATTGTCACTTCAATATCAGTGATTTAATTGCTCAAAAATTGCTAATTGACGAACCATTATACCAAATCAGTCAGCAATGTAATGACTGCAATAACTACATTGTTCATAATGTTCCCATTGTTGACATAAACACCGAACTTTTCAACCAGCATGATATACAGGCTCTTGAAAGTGCCATCAATGAAAAGATATCTGATTCGCACCATAAAAGCTGCGTTCAATGTAGATGTAACAACGTAACGTCACATGTCACGGGCCGCAATCATCTTTTCATTGACATTGAATGTTTACAGTTGGTACGGCTTGCAGAAAATATGGGTTATACTAACTGGCCAGGGGTATTCTGCATTTCAGATATTCCTTGTACATTAATGTTTGGCGAGTTAACTTATCATCTAATTTCTGTAATAGAATATGTTGGCAATTGATGCGGCGTATGTGGGACACTATATCGCGTACATTCACCGAATAAATGGGCGATGGGAGGTCCACAATGATTTATGTGCTGATAAAAAACCCGTTTTAGCCACAGCAAGAAAATTACAACAGACAAGAAAACTCGCATTATTAGTTTACTTAAAAAAATATAAAATGTCATATTAATAAAAATAAAAGTTTCAATAACAACTCCATAGATCCTTTTGTGATATCTCTATTAATAACGAAGATACACACTTTCAGCGGTATTCTGAAAGATCAAAAAATCGCTGTATTTTGGAACCGGTTGAGGTACAAACGAAATCGAAAGTGGTACAAACGGGTACCAACGATTCTTTACCGAATGGTATTAATAAAATTAGAATATCAAAAAGTGGGGTTCCGGCAATTTTTCAAATTTTTTTTATGTCTAGGTCCTGAGGTACAAACGAAATTAAAGGTGGTAGAAACGAGAACAAACGATTCTCTATCGAATGGTACTAATAAAACCAAAATATCGTAAACTCGGGTTCCAGGTTCACAGAGCTGAGCTTTCTAGCTTTCAACTTTTTTGTCCGCTGTGTTCTTTGGTGTAGAGTTCTTCAGCAACCTTATACATTTCTTCTCTGTTCATTTGTCTGGAAAGACGAACCAAGATGACGAATTTAGAGATGGTGACCCTCTTGGGGAGTTGGATTGGATTGGATTTGATAAACTAGGAAGGATGGATTTGGGCTTTGGAAACTTAGTCTTTATTGCCCAGTTACTGCGTATATTTATAAATATTTCAGGATATGATTCCCTTACAGAAAGGGGATGGACAACACAGAAGAAACAAAGGATAGACCATCACCACATAAACACAATTTGTATTCCGTAAACAGTGCCACGGCGGGAATCGAACCTGTGACCCCCAGACTGGCCAGTCGAGTACTTAACACCACGGCTACCCAGCTGGTCTTGGGGAGTTCATTGGGGTGTTGGAGATCTTGTCCAATTTCTTGTGCCAATTTCTTAGCTTCTTCGGCAATGTTGATTTTGTCGGAGTATTTGATGGATTTGCCGTGGTATCCGCTGGAGTAGAAAGACATGGCGGAAGATGGTTGATCTAATTCTTGTTTGCTTTGGTCGAGGTGGTATTGTCCATGAGATTTTCTGGAGCGGAGTTGGTTCAATCTTTGGTAACCTGGTCTGTTGTAGGTACTTTCTTCATCAGCAACATGGTATGGTTTGTGGGCGGATTCAACTTGGTTGTTTCCGTGGGAGTTGTCGTATCTGTACAAAAGGCCGGCTTCGACGGGTTCGGAGAGGCTATTGAAACATTTACCGGGTTGCATGTTCTTAAGAACCTAAGACACTCTGCTAGCAATAATTCCAGATTTGCCATTATTGAACAAGGGGCTGAAGGAGACAACGTTGGAGGTGTTTGAGGTCTTGATGACGTAGTCTTCGAGATCATCATAGATGACAGCGTTGGAAACGGAGGTGCTGTTCATGAAATTGCCCATAGAATCGGTGTTACACAACTAAACTCGATCAAGATTATAAACCTTATTAAGTTCCAAACTAACAACATTACAAAATCACGAATAGAATAAATTAAGCATTTCCTAATTCAACGTGTGAAATAGTAATTACCTACACATGAGTGACGTCACGAACGGACCGTCGAGTTGTGCACCTGTTCCCGGGATGTAATTTTTTAACCAAATTAAATGACATTTTACGCCATTACTAACGCCATCTATTAGGTAAAATTACAAATTTAAATGAATCAATTAAATAAGAGATGTCAGCACTTATTATTTTAAAATGGCATATGAAGTAATTTCTAAAAAAATCTTGTAAAGTATATTTAAAAAATAATTTTTGTTTGTGGCAAATACAATCAATAATGAGCCAATAAATTTTTGAGTTCATACCCCTCGGTAATACGAGCAAGATATGAGAACCAGAAAAGATAATAATAATCGTTTGTTGTTAAAGATGAATGTTATTCACATGATTGCAAGGTTTTTAAACTTTTAACAGTAAAACGCAATAAAACTTCTTCGAAATACATGAGATAAATCGGCATGAAATGTTTAATTAAAAACCATAACTCTATAACGAAACAATAAATATTGTGTATTATAAAAATAGTAAATTATCTAAATAAAAATTAAATTTAAATGTTATAAAAATATTTTTTGTTGTCAACGGCCCAAAACATTCTGGAAAATTCCCAAAATATTAACATAAAATATTTAATATTAATTCGCGTCAATTTCAAACTAACCTGCTATAGTCAGCATTGGGCTATCTCGTTAGTAACAGAGTTGAGCCGATAACTAGATTTTTACAACAAAACGTAATAGTATGCGTTTTCAAATCATGAATGAACTCCGTTATCAATCAAAATTTGCACCTAAAAATTGCTGACATGAAGAATTAATTGTATAAAAGCCTGAATAATTTCATCAATCGGCACACTCAAACGAAGAGTTGTCTTGAAGATGTTGGCCAAGTTACTCCTAGTTTTTCTCGGTAAGACAAAATTTTCCTTAATTTTTCTTAAAATTAATTTTTTTGCTATTTATAGTCAGTTACGCTAGTGCTTCGCACTATGCCTGGAAACCAAACACCGAATACACCTACAGGGTTGCCGGTCGCACCCTCAGCGGTTTACCGGACCACGACCCCACGATGACTGGAATTCTCTTAAAATCCGAACTTAAAATCGTTCCTAAGACACCCGAAGTCCTCACCGCCAGACTCCAGCAATCCCAATACAGCAGAGTCCAAATGAAATTCAGGGACAGCTGGGAAGAACCGGTTCCAGAATCTGAATGCCAATACAAACCTTTGGCAATCTCCGAAGAGCCGTTCGAAATCCACCTCCAAGATGGCATCATCAAGGACGTCGTTGTTTCCAAGTCGTTGAAGAACTGGGAAGCTAACATGATCAAATCATTTGTCTCCCAATTACAATTGAACGTTAACGCTAAACATCCGATCGACAGCGAAATCACCATCTTACCGCACAAAAAGAACCCAGTTGGAGCTTACAAAGTTATGGAAAAGACCGTTACTGGTGAATTCGAAACCATATACACCATGAAACCCGAACCAGACAACGTATGGCCCGTCCTTGCCCATGAATCCCAAGAAGACTCTAACGAAAACATCCTCATCTCAAAATCCAAAAACTTCACCAACCACGGTGCTTTCGTCGGCTACCACTTCGGTTTCGGCGAAATGGAAACTTCAGAACCCAACACCGATTCTATGGGCAATTTCATGAACAGGACCTCCGTTTCCCACGCTGTCATCTATGGTGATCTCGAAGACTACGTCATCAAGGCCTCAAACACCTCCAACGTTGTCTCCTTCAGCCCCTTGTTCAATAACGGCGAATCTGGAATTATTGCCAGCAGAGTATCTTTGGTTCTTAAGAACATGCAACCCGGTAAATGTTTCAATAGCCTCTCCGAACCCGTCGAAGCCGGCCTTTTGTACAGATACGACAACTCCCACGGAAACAACCAAGTTGAATCCGCCCACAAACCATACCATGTTGCTGATGAAGAAAGTACCTACAACAGACCAGGTTACCAAAGATTGAACCAACTCCGCTCCAGAAAATCTCATGGACAATACCACCTCGACCAAAGCAAACAAGAATTAGATCAACCATCTTCCGCCATGTCTTTCTACTCCAGCGGATACCACGGCAAATTCATCAAATACTCCGACAAAGTCAACATTGCCGAAGAAGCTAAGAAATTGGCACAAGATTTTGGACAAGATCTCCAACACCCCAATGAACTCCCCAAGACCCAGCTGGGTAGCCGTGGTGTTAAGTACTCGACTGGCCAGTCTGGGGGTCACAGGTTCGATTCCCGCCGTGGCACTGTTTACGGAATACAAATTGTGTTTATGTGGTGATGGTCTATCCTTTGTTTCTTCTGTGTTGTCCATCCCCTTTCTGTAAGGGAATCATATCCTGAAATATTTATAAATATACGCAGTAACTGGGCAATAAAGACTAAGTTTCCAAAGCCCAAATCCATCCTTCCTAGTTTATCAAATCCAATCCAATCCAACTCCCCAAGAGGGTCACCATCTCTAAATTCGTCATCTTGGTTCGTCTTTGCAGACAAATGAACAGGGAAGAAATGAATAAGGTTGCTGAAGAACTCTACACCAAAGAACACAGCGGACAAAAAGTTGAAAGCTGGAAAGCTCTCCGTGACGCCATCGCTCAATCTGGAAACGGACCCGCCCTTCTCACCATCCGTCAATGGATCAAGGATCAAAAAGTTGGAAATTACGAAGCTGCTCAACTTGTCTCAAGAATGGCCGTAGCTGCTCGCCACCCAACCGCCAAATACCTCAGAACCTTCCAAAAATTGGCCGAAGAATCCGTCGAAC